CAAACCGCATCCACCCGCATTATGTTTGCGAAACTGCCCATTTATATGCGGGCCACAATGAAACTCAAGAATATACAATGAAATTCGACACACGTGCAGGAGGAGATTATCTGGGTTGAATGATGGTGAATGGTGAAGGGGAAAATGGATGAGAAACACAAGGTTGTGGTTTGGAAGTGAAGTTTATTAATGTATTTTGAGGATATGAAGGTGGATGGAGTATATATCAAAGGCATGCAAGTGAAGATGGTAAAGGAAGGGATAACAAGGTGGGGGTCTTGGAATATGTTATTCCCCCCCCCCCAAAAAAAAAAAAAGAAAAGAAAAAAGGGATAGAATAGGATTCTACTAATCCCCCTCCTAATCTAAGACGTTCCAAATGTGGGATGGGATACATAATCGTAATTTGTAAGGCATTAATAATCCCAAGACTATTAATCCAACCAAACAAATAGTGCCTACTTGTCTTCAACATTTGTAGCCGTTGCATGTTCACTGATTTCTTTGCCTGTATGGCCAAAAACAGGTTAATCTGGAAGTTTTGAGGAGGAAGAATGTATTATTGCTGATATCAAGCCTAGACATCTCTCCGGATGAGCTTTCAATTCTTGAACAGATTTATAATGATTCTCGTCAATATGGAACAAGGTTAGATAATCTGTTTGAGATGGTCTGGATCCCAATTGTGAACCAATCAGTGCAGTGGACAGAGCCCATGCAAAGGCAGTTTGAGAGCATGCAATCCATGATGACATGGTACACGGTGCACCACCCCTCACTAACTGATCGATTGGTGATTAGGTTCATCAAGAAGAAATGGCACTTCAAGAACAATCCCATCCTTGTGGTGCTAGACCCACAAGGTAAGGTGGTGAGCCCCAATGCCATCCACATGATGTGGATATGGGGAAGCAATGCGTTTCCTTTTACCAGCTTGAGAGAGGAAGCTCTTTGGAAGGAAGAGACTTGGAAGGTTGAGTTGCTGGTGAATGGTATCGACCAAACGATACTCAATTGGGTAAACATCAAAAATATATATATATATATATATATATTTTATTTTGTCTAGCTAGATAACCATTATTGCATTATTAATTTGGTCCAATTGATAACATCTATTAAAAAATATAATATAAATCCCAAGGCAAAATAGTTTATTAAAAATAAATTGACTATTTCAAATTGGATGTCAATCTCTATATAGTACTTCATCTTTTAAACTAATATGATCAAATTATTGAGTTTGATAACTAACATGTGATTCGGATCGACCTTTTTTTATTATAGATTAGAGAAGGAAAACACATTTTCTTGTATGAAGGGGATAACGTTGAGTGGTTGCAAAGATTCACAACCATGGCCAACTCTGTTGCACGGGACGTACACATCCCTCTGGAGATGGTCTATGTCAGAAAGAGTAGCAAAACGGAACAAGTCAGGCGAGCCATTCAAGCTGTCAATACTGATAAAATAGGGACTGCCTGGCAAGAGCCTATGATATGGTTTTTCTGGACTCGGCTAGAGAGCATGCTGTTCTCCAAGATTCAACTTGGCAGGGCCAATGATTACGAACCCATGAGGGAAGAGATCAAAAAACTTCTTAGCTATGACAAGAGTAGAGGAGGATGGGTTGTGTTCCTCAAGGGATCAGAGGTGGTGGTCAATGGGCATGGGAGCACAGTGTTACCTACTTTGTTGGAGTACACCGATATGTGGAAACAAAATGTGATCACCAAAGGGTTTGATAAATCGTTCAAGGATCACCATGACAGGCTTCATGGGTTTGAGCACCCGTGTTGTCGCTTTGAATCCCCAAGCATAGTGGAAAGGATACTGGAGAGCATGAAATGCCCGGAGTGCCTCCGTAGCATGGAGAAGCACATCACCTTCATATGCTGCCACGATGAGAATCCTATTACCAACATACTTGACTGAGTACCCTGATGTTGAACAATTATTATTATACTATTGCTATTGAAATATGAATAATGCTTTTTGTGTTTTATACGTATATCTTTTTTTTCGTGTAATAAGATTCCAGTGTGATGAAATGTAATTGTCAAGGTCCTTGGGCTTTGATATTGTTAATGTCTATATGATATTCCTAGACTATATTAGATATTGATTTCTTAGATATATTTAGGAATAGCCATAGTTAGGTTTCTTGTAAAATACTCTTTCTCATTATTAGGTTTTTAATAGGATACTTTTTTCTCAGCCTATATATACAAGATAATATTCATTGAATACAATGCATAAGTACCTAGTAATTTCACTTCACCGGTGGGAGGCACCTTGCCTTGGCCGCTCATCGGACCTCAACTTATTCCGTTGTTACATTTTCTTGTCAGTATGGCTTCGTGGTGATCTCTTCCTTTGTCCGCTGGTTTATTTCTACCCCAAATATCTCTATTATATTTTTTTTTACTCGCAATCCTTTTTGTGTGTGTGTGTGTGTATGTATGTGTGTGTTTCTGCTCCACTCTATCTTTCCCTCTACTTCAACCTCAAATAGGTTTCTATCTTCAAACCTATTTGACTTTGAGGAGGAGTATTATACCTATATCATAGTGAACATGGTTATACACCATGTAAACCACCTAAGCCGTCCCTGTGGGGCACAACTCAAGCCGCCCCCTATGGCGTACCACCGAAGTCGCCTCCTCTGGCGCATATATCATGGTGAACATTGTTATACACCATACAAACTGCTTAAACCATCCCTGTGGCGCACAATTCAAGCCGCCTCCTATGGCGTACCACCCAAGTTGTCCCCTAGCGCACTGCCCAAGTCACCTTATCTGGTGCACAATCCAAGCCGCCCTCTCTGGCGCATAACCCAAGCCGCCCTTGGAGTACCACCAAAGTCGTCCCCTGGCATACCATCTAAGCCGCCCCCTAGCGCACTCAGTCATCTGTTGTCATCATCGTTCAGCATCATATCATAAGTTATGTATGTGTCACGCTTGCTAGTTCAACATCGAGTCTCTACAACGGTCCGACATGACCCCATAAATTGTTCTGACATTGATTCCAACCAATTCCTACAACGGTCCGGCATGACCTTAAACTGTCCCGGCATTAGTTTCGGCCAGTTCCTAGAACAGTTCAACACGACCATAAACTATCTCCTAGCATTAGCTCTGGCCTCTGATATATCTCAAGCGCCTTTACGTTCCCGTTTAGACTTTGCAATCTATTTGCCCATTTTATTTTATTTCGTTTTATGTTATGTTTTAGTTTCTCTCTCCAAGCTTAAGATGTTTATCCTCCTTGAGTTTAAGGGGGGATGTTAATGTATATATGGTATTCCTAGATATATTAGGTATTGATTTCTTAGATATATTTGGGAATAGCCATAGTTAAGTTTCTTGTAGAATAATCTTTCTCATAATTAGGTTTTTAGTAGGACATTCTTTTTCAGCTTATATATACAGGCCTTCTATTGTATAGGATAATATTCAATGAATACAATACATATTATTTCATTTCTCTCTCTCTCTCTCTCTCTCTCTCTCTCTCTCTCTCTCTCTCTCTCTCTACTATTCTAACAGATATAAAAGAGACAATTTGATATTTATGGTACAATGTATGTATTGTTTGGAAGGCTGGTGTGAGAACTCGACTATAAAAATAAAGTAAATAATTAAATAATAATAATTTTACAATCTCAAATATTTTGATAGTGAATCCTAAAGTGCAAATTAAATATTTGAAGGGTCTTTTAATTAATTTTAAACATAAAATAAATTTATGATGAAAGTCTTTAAATTAGAGACAATATTTATTATTAAAAAATAGAGAAGAGGGTGTGACTTAAACTTTAAATCACAAATTTAATAAATAATGCTCTTACCATTTGAGTTGCATACTGCATATATAAATATTTTGTATATTATTTATTTATTTGACCTACACATGCTTTTGGTAAGTACTACAACATATAAGAGTTTTAGAGATCAAATGTTTTGGTCTTTAAAAGTGAAAATTTTGTTACAAAAGACATTTAGAGACCAATTTCCATCGTCATGAAGATAGTCGCTAAAACGTCATCCCGAAAATTATAAAATAAGGCTTTTAGCGACAAAATTTTGAAAATGTCACTAATAAATAGACTTTTAGGGACAAAATAATTTAGTCTCAAAATAGTTTATTTTTAGAGACAAAAAATTTGGTCCAAAAAAGATAATAATTCATCGCTAATGTCTAATTTTTATTACTAAAAATATAATAATGACATTTTTCGCAACAAAATTATTTGGTCCCTATAAAAAATAATTTTGTCCCTAATTTTGATCTCTAAAACCTTAATTTTTTGTAGTGGTGCCCAATACTATTATAAAATAAAATAAACACAAACCCTACCCTCTTATTTGTTCACCACAAATAGCAGCAGCAGCAGCCACACTACCACAGGAGAGAGATTTAGAGAGAAGAAAACAAGAAGAAGAAGTTACAATCAAAGAACTTTTGGGTGTGGTAGGCTTCTAGCTTTCTTCTTTCCTTTTTGTTTTTGTTTTTTTCATCCTTACTCTATTGTTATTTAATTCATTGATGGAGAGGTTGTAGGTGTATGGATTTTGTGTATATATATCCTGTTAAGAAATCTGAGGAGTTAAATTTATGTATAAAGAATATAAGTAATTCTTAGTTTAAAAATTCTGTACAAAATAATAAAAAAAAAAACTTTAAAAATCAAGGAATCATATCAAACGGATGAATTTTGAATTAAAATTTTTATGTCAAATTAATTACATATTGAATTGCATACCAGAATTTTCTTATAATTTTTGAGATTCAAAATCTATATTAAATGGTGAGTTCAAATTTGTCTAGAAAATTGGTGTAAAATAGTAACTTTGGAAGTGTCGTTCTCTTTGAGTATAAATCTGAAAATTATCAAATCAGCGTGTAGACACCCCATTTTTGACCGCCCTTAAGACTTGGGCGTTACTGATGGTTCACTTGGTGGTGAAAGGTGTGCAGGGCAAAGGTTCAGTTTCTTCGGCAAGCAGAGAGACAAATCTCAACTTCACACCCCATTTTGGATCAAAGCTATTTTGAATGGTTTTTAGACCTTAAAATCCTCTCTTTCAAAACATTTTTGAAATAAAGTTTCTGCGATATTCCGAGGCTCGCATTTTGTCAAACGTTGCGCTTTTCGGTAAACCGAGCAAGGACAAAGTGGAAATGAATGAAAGAGAGATTAAATCTTTGAAAAATCTTTCAAAACAGCTTTCTTAGGGGTTTGAAGTTGAAGAAAGGAGGGGAAGAGAGAAGAAACCAAGTTGGAGAAGAAGATAGGCAAGAATCGCTAAGAGAAAGTCGAGCGGTCCTCGCTAAATCAGGCTTATCTGTCTATACACATGGAGTTAAGATATGAGGCCACCACCGTTGGAAAGAAGACTTTCGGGGCTTCATTTTTCACTCAAGAATCTCCTAAAGATGAGTCCGGATGGGGGAGATATGATTGGTTGAAGTTGGGCATCATCCCGGTTGGACCGAAACTGAGCAACCTTTACAAAAACAAGCATAACTTTTTTCACAGTTTGAATTTTGATGAAAAGCTGGTGCCATTGGAAATCTTACTTCTAGGGCTTCAATTTGGACACAAGAAAGACCTGAAAAGGAGTTCATTTGAAGAGGTTATGCCCGTTTGAAGTTGGACCTGCAGAGTAGATTTTTCCTGCCGTCCGACCAGAACAGATGGCCGACCGGCCAAATAGATGGCCGACCAGAACAGATGGCCGACCGACCAAATAGATGGCCGACCAACCATTTTTGCTAGCCGACAACCTTCCGGTGTATTCTGCAGGCTGAGTGGATGCCAGCTGTGCCAGCTGTTTTGCACCAGACCCCTGCCCAAGGAACTGCCCTTTTGGGGGGGAAATTTGAACTTGTTTTTCCCCCCCTTTTTCCTTGCCTCTCTCCCTCTATATAATACACCCTTAAGCCTCATTTCTAAGGGTTAGAAGACCAGCTGGAGCATACACCCTTCCCTCCTCCATTGCTCTCCATTTTCAAGCTCAAAACACCCTTGGTTCTTGGCCATTTCTACACCACCTCATAGCACCACACCTCCATACTCCATTCCAGCAACTTGGAGGTTATTTTCAGAGGTTAGGAGCACCATTTATTCAACCAAAAACTGCTGATTCATTGGTCTTCAAGGGTGAGTCCTCTTTCTCCCTTTTCTAGTCTTTTCTTGCTCTATATCTAAGCCTTTCTTGCAAGCATTTTTGGGCGCCGACCCAAACTGAAAATAGTCATATTTTGAGCTCATTTTCATGTTTGATCAAGGACCTCTTGCTGTTTGACATCTCCTACTGCCACTTGCCTCTTTATCTCTCTTTTAGGCCAGTTTTTGCATGGTATTTTAGGCTCATTTGTAAGCTTTTTCGGAATTTTCCATAAACTGTAAAATGCCTTTTTTTGAGCCCCTCTTCAACTTTGTTGAAGGGTTCTCCTCTGTTTGAGGATAGAAGCTACCACTTGCCTCTTTATCCCTCTTTTAGGCCTTTTTCTTGCATGGTGGCTTAGCCCTATTTGTAATTATTTTCGTGGCTCGGTATAAACTGTAAAGTGCCTTATTTTGAGCCCCTCTTAAACTTTTTTGAAGGGATCTTTTCCATTTTGGGCCAGATGCTGTCCCTTGTCTCTATTCTCTCTTTTAGGGCCATTTTTGCATGATAGATTAGCCCTATTTATGTTCATTTTTGGGACTTGTTATAAACTGGAAAAAGGCTTGTTTTGACATCATATTCATGTTTCATTGAGGGAATTTTCTTATTTGAGGTCACATGCTTCCTTGAATGCTTGATTGTCCTTTGTTTTGAGCCTTACACCTAAGCCCCAATGGCTTGCCTTGTTTGGTCTTCTAGCCATTGAAATCCAGTGGATTTCCAGTAGTTTTGATGCTGTTTTGAGCCTCCAAATCAGAGGGGGGTCCCCCCCTCTCACCTTGACTTGTTTGGTGGTCATTTTGGCCTTCCAAAGAGGGCCTATCTTGCATGCTTGTTGATTGATTTTAGGGCCAAATTGGTGAGTTTTAGGGCTACCATATTTGATTTCCAGAGTTAATTTTGCCATGCTAAGTGTCCTTGATGTAT